TAAATTTTTTGCTTATTCTAAAAAAAAAGTTAATATAATAAGTATATTCAAATAGTTTAATTAATCGTTTGGGTATCTGTGATCACCCTCTGTAAATATGTAACTTTAAATTCATTATAGACAAATTTATATGTTGTTGAAGTTTAAAAGATAAATAAATGCTATTGAATCAGTTCGATATCTTAAAGGAGATAGTAATTCATGAATTTGTGTATAATCGGAAATAAATATTTTAATAATATCTTTTAATTCAGATATAATTATAACTTTTGATGATAAATGTGGTATTCATTTTGTATTTCCATAAATTCGTTAAATAAGACCATTTTTTTAAAAATCTTAGAGTTTTAAGATAATATTTTGTAATTCTAACTATCTTTAAATAAGTATTTATACAAATATTAAAATAATTTCAATGTATTTTTTTTTGTGAAATTTCAGAAATTTGTTTGTTATTATAAGCAAATGCCATTAATTAACCTTTAATAGTAAAGTCTAATTGTTATTTATCTAATTTACTAAATTTAATATGTCTTATAAAAAACTGTTTAAACCTAATTTTTTCAAAACAAGTATATATATCTTTATTATTTTTAGATTTTCTACAATCACATTGATTATTATTAAAAAATTGTTGAATTTCATTAATTTTTTTCATTATATTTTCATATTCAGCATATTCTTCTAATTCTAAAGTAAATAAATTATAAGAATGTAAAGACATTATGTTTGATAAAATGTAAAGAATCTTGTAAAAAAAAATATTAATATGATCAAATTTCAAGTAAAATTTTCCCATTATATTAATTGTTTTTCTAAATTTAATAATTAAAGTCAATTTTTAGAGATTTAAGGCGTAAGAAAATATTTTATTATAATTGTGTAATATTATTTCAGAGCATAATTTTCGTATGTAAAATTTTATGATCTTTATTATCTTCTTATCTAAAAATAAATCAAAAAAATATTATGTAAGATAAATGTTTTTTTAAATTTACTTAAAATATGAAAATCATTTCAGACCCTGGTTTTCCTACATAACAACCAATATGATTATTTTTATAATAAAAATTAAATAAACCATTCATTTCATTATAATTGTTAAAAGTGAATCAAAAATTTATTCTAAGTAGATTTTAGTTGATAATAAATTTGATAAAATTTGATAATTTTATTTAAATTTGCATTAAATATAAATGAATAATGTTATATAAAAAATAAATGAATAATAATAATATACTTTTTATTAAATATAATATAAATCTAATAACTTATGATAAAAATTATAATTTGATCATAAGATTTAAAATCTTAAAATATAAGTTATATATAATATAAAATTTAAAAAAATAAAAAAAATTTAAATTATTTGCTAATAAGATATTTTTTTTATTATTATAGTGATAGCAGAAATTTCAGTTTTGGTTTATTAATGAATAAAAATTATTCAGAAAAGAAGAAATTTAAATATTAAGATAACAGATAAATAATTTTTAACTTATAAATATATTTCATTTTTTATTGTAAGCATGATAAAAATATATAGGATTTGTTATAAGTATAGAAGTTAATAGAATAAATTTATCTTAATTAATTAAAATACTATTAAGTTAATAAAAATCATTAGAAATTATTAAAACCATTCTAATTTATCTTTTAATTACTAATCTAAAAAGTATTATTTATATATATAAATGTTAAAATATAAGACAATAAAATATTAGTGGTTAAATAAATAATATTAGAATATTAATTCAGCAGAAAATATTTATATCAGCTGATTAAAAAATTCTTTCAAAATTTTTGAATAAAAAATAATAAACAAAATATAATATATAGTAAAAAAAGAGAAAACTACCAAAAAATTTTTTTAAGTTAAATATTATTTGTTTAAAATTTTTTTGATTATTTTCTTTTCTTCTACTGTAAAATAATTATATAATATTTTACTATAAAGAGTAATTATTAATTTGATCTTTTTGTATTATATTATTAAATAGTTTATTAGTTTAGAATATTAGCAAAGGATTATATATATTTTATACGTTTTGATATTCTGATATTTTGATATTTGCCTGCTTAAATTTTGAGTCAATATGTGATTAGTTTCTTTTATTACATTTATACTAAATTTAACAATAGTTACTAAAATCATTCTCTAGTTATATAGTATATTTTTAAATTTTTTGCTAATAAAATTTTATATTTTAAATGGGATAATTATATTATATTTAAAATTTAAAATTTAAATTTGATAATATGCTTATGCTAATCATTTAAATAATATACATTATAAGGGTAAAATTTTAGATAAATTTAATTGGTAAATTAAAAAGTTAATTTTATTGTTATGTAAATTATTAGTAAGATTATTTATCCATTTTATTATCATTGATCATTATGTAAATCCTTAGATATCAATTTTATTGTCCTTAATAATCATGTAGATCATAGATATCCATTTAGTTGCCTGCAGATCTGGCAATTTTATTGACACAGCAACTTTATTGCCTAGCAAAATGGTAACTTTATTTTCTTCAATATATTTAATTAGTTTATTTTATTAATTATTTAACATGTATAAAATATCTCTGTATTTTCTTTGAGTCTCTTCATTGACGAGATATTAATATTTTAGATACTGAACTTATTTATTATATTAATAAAAAAGTATTATTAATCAAGTATAAAACTTATCCTTTACAACCTTTTAATACTGTTATAAATTATTTGTAACCCTTTTGCATTTATTGCAATCTCTTTTAACTATTATTAATAAACTTATTGTATGATATTGTATTAATTTACTATATTGACTTGGAGTTTTTGAAGTATAATCTCTAATATATCTTGTGTTATAATTGTGTTTATTTTGTATTTATCTTACATATATTATTATTGAGAATAATCTTTAACGTTATTGTGAATCCTCACCTGTGATTCTTTGAGTAATAGTCTTAGTTTTATTTACCCTTTTGAGATTTAATTGAAGTTATGAAACCATTATAACAACACATAAAATTTTTTTTAAAAAAATTTTTCATTTTATTAAAATGATGAAAACTAATGAACCTTCTTTACTAATTAAAAAAAAATATGTTAAAATTCATAATTATCCTAAAAAATCTATCATTTAATATTCTAATTCTGAATGGAGCTATACTTATAATATTATTAAAGAAGGAAATTATCTATCTATAACTTAATGTTAGGCGAAAAGTTAAACAAGTTATAATTACCTATTCAATTCTTAACAATATTAATAATATATACTGATCTGAAAATTATTATACTATAAACTTGTATCCTAGTGTTAAAAAATATGAGACTTTAATATTGTTTTAGAACCACTAGTTGTAGAATTAAGAAAATTAGAATGGAAGCTTAAGCTATATTTTTCATCAGGCTGGAAATTTGTCTAAGATTAAATACAACAAATAGTAAATATTTCTGTCTATAGTGTGATATGTCTCAAAAAAACAGGATGATTTCTCATATGAATGGACAATTAATAAAATATGGAACAAATTTGTAAAGATTATACATTTTATAAGGGTCATATTTGACCAGCAATTTTTAATATGATTCCTTTACAAAATTGGGTTCCAGACGAATTATATTATGTTACGCACCACAGATGTTTTTTGCCGATTAATAATTGATGAACTTAAATCTAGAAATACTTGAGAAGATAGAGTAAGAAATGTAATAGTTGAAACGCATTGATGTTAAGTTTCATTTTTGGCTTGAAGTAGGGTCAACAAATTGGCAATATACTTCTTTGATAATACAAGATAAATTTATTGTTTTTCAATATTTTAACTAAACTTTTTCCAAATTCATAAGCAACTCAAATTAGAAAATTGTGAAATAATTTTTATTTTACTTTATAAAGCAATGAAAAATCTTAAAACTGATGTCAAAACAATTCTCTGATGATGCACATGCATGGTTGTGCCAATTTTTAAATTTAATTATTTTTATCAATACGTATTGGACAATTTTGGTTTTGAAAAAAAAAAACCAAAAGTTTCCCATTTTATTTTTAAAAAAAAAAACACAAAAGATTAAGTTCAAACGATTTTGCAAGCAATGAAACAACTCCGACAATCGTGTTAATATCACAAATTTGATGACAAAAGTGATACACGGATTAATTTTCCTTTTCTATCCAAAAGATAATTATCGTTTATAAATATAATAGGAAGGTGTCGCGATATAATTATAAATTTCCCTAATGAGTTATTGCCAAGTGATTCACAATCGTTGGATGAAATGTATAATTCGTAGTTACAAAAAAAAAAAAAAAAATTTCATCTACATTTATAAATAACCATTTTACGATGATTTATTTTATTTTGTCTTTTTTTTTTCTCTCTCTCTTTTTTTGCTTAACCCGTTTTAACTAGCAAAAAAAAAAAAAATTATGGGAGCTTTTCAGAAAGGAACCGCACTTTGGCCTGGTGGTATCGTTCCATATCAACCAAATGAAAATCATCCCTTTTGGTCTGTTATCTTAAAAGCCATAAACGAGATGAATAATAAAACGGTGGTCAAATTTATCGAGAAAACGGTTCAACCAGATTATGTTTATTTCACTTCCGAGAATTCCGGAAACTGGTCCATTACCGTAGGAAAAGCTGGAGGACCACATCAAGTAAACATTGACAAGAATGTAAGATCCTTGCATGAATTGGGGCACGTTATCGGGTTGGTACATGAACATCAAAGACAAGATCGAGATAACTATATTGAAGTTCATAGAGAATTCATAGATTCCAATAACGAGTGGAACATAAACAACGTCATTAACACAACGGAAATCGAATATGAAACCGAATATGACGTTCACTCGTTCATGCATTATTGGGATACCGCTGGAGTAAGCGATAAAGTTAAAAATAAAGAATTGGCCAAAAGGATTGCCACCGGTATTGCCACTATTGGGATCTCAGAAATGAAAGATCATGTTGAAGGTCGTTCGATGGTATATAAACGTGACAGACGCATGCATATTGTTACTAGTGAATTCCTTTCTCCTTTGGACATCTATTGCATTAATAATGTCTATAATAACTACGCGCCTACCTCCTGATGACTCGGAGAATAGAGATGGTTATGGTTGGTCGGTGGCCGGAGGTCAACAATTTCGGTATTTCGGTATTTCGGTAGGGAGGGTCATAAATATAAATTGTAACTGAAATTTTCATCAGCTGCACTTGTAAAAAAAAATTTTTTTTTTTCTTTATTATATATTTTCATCTAATTGAATGAATACAGTAATTTATTTTGCAAAAATATTTTCTCTTTATTAATGACGGATAATCACACCCTTTATATGTTTTTTAAAATAGTCTACTTTTATCTATTAAAGGAAACGTACCTTTAACATAAATCCCTACTATATCTGGGTTTAATTAATAAAAAGAATTCATTAGTCTATCCTGATAACATTATTTTTGATTACAATTATAATAAATGCCAAATTTTGTCCAAAGAAAAACATCTAAAATTTGAATTTAATGAGCCAAAAAAAAAAGAGGAATCTCGTTATGATACTAAAAGACAGCTTTGTTAACCACATCTTACCAAAAGCTAATCTGAGTCGGCGATCCCGATTAACACGTAATTTCTTAAATTTGCATTGATCCGCGTTATTACCTGATTTGGAAATTTCGATTAAAGATAAGTGAAATCAAAAATCGCAAAAGTTCAATCTTTTTTTTGTTTTTGGACATACATGTATATAGTGTATAAAATATTCACAATGACATCATTTATTTAATAACGATCCGTGTATTACAAAAAAAAATAATTCTACAAATCCCAACCTTTACAATGAATAAATAAACCTTTTTTCAAAAACCCCCCAGATCCCAAAACCTTTACAATGAAAAAAAAAAATCTAAACAAAAAAAAACTTAATTCTAAAATCATTTGAAATACAGACAATCAATTAAAAAGAAAAGAATAACGATCTAAATTCTAACTAATTTTCTATTCATCATCCACTATGATGCTTGATGGGTCATTAGGAGTATTAAGCAATGCTGTACGTTCATTAGGAACATCAACAATGGGTTCTTCAATACATTTTTCTCGTTGTTCTCTATAATACCAACAAATGCACATTATAAGAAGAGTTCCTTGAAGGCATCCTGTAATAAGGAAAACGATCCATGTTGTCCATCTGGTACCCTCACGAGTAGCAAGTGAATATACGAAAAGGAATGATCCTATTTTCAAGACGTTGAATGAATAAGAATTTCATACCGCACGACTTGTAAGATTGTACGTAAAGTGAATTCATTTACCTGGAGTTTGAACCAACATCATTGGAATACTAAGGGCTCCAACAATCTAGATAAAAATAAAATTATAAGAAATGACTGGGAAAAAGAGTCAAAATTTGAAATCAGTGTAAGGATATTCTTGAAGGTCATTACCTTTCTTTGCCAAGTTCTCCAAATTTGAGGTAAATATTGAACTGAGGCTAAAATCAAAGAAATGATTCCTAATGCATCTGCCCAATATTTGGTCAAATCATGTTCATCGGCTTTACCGACAAATATTAAAAGATAAACAGAAACAACAAGCGTAAAGATGAAATGTAAAGTAACAAAGGCTGTAACATAAAGTGATACACTCCAATCCTTTGAAATTGCAACATCATCTAAACCAATTGGTATATATTTTCTGTATTGTGGAAAATATGCCATGAACAATATTAAAATCATTGTAAACATAAACCATTGGATTGTGAGTTGGGTAACTCCCAAAGTATTTTCAAAACAAGCTCTACCAGACTAGAGTTTCAACAATGGGACAATCGTATATACATATATTTTAAAAACAAAGAAAAAAGAAAAAGAAGAAAAAGAAGAAGAAAAAAATTATATATCAAAATTTGAATTTACGTACCACATATTTACAACATTCAAGTTGAGGGATTTGTAAAATTAAAATATTGAAAAAACTGCATGTCATTGAAACGGCTCCCAATAAAAGAAACCATGGACTAATTCCTTCACTAGACTTGAGACTAATAATTCTATAATGCTATTAAAAAAAATAAGGTAAGATTATTTTAATGCTTTTACGTAATCAATGAAAAAAAGAAAAGAACATTTTCTTTCTAAATTACCTGTGGTAAATAACTAATTAACAGTCCACACGCAATAAAGACCGCAATAAATACTTCTAGAAAATTATTGTGAGAACGACAATCCTTTGGATCAACATCAAATAATAAACGATCCATATTTTACAAAAGATTTTATTAATCGTTCGTAAATAAAAATGGGGCGAAAAAAAAATAAATAAATAAACAAAAATATAGTGTTTATATGTAAAATTTAAAAAAAAAATGATTAACGAAGTCAATAGATTATCGATGGAATTTAAAGAGGAATGTCTCCCGCTTTTGTTTCCATATCAAATCTTACTTGCGATCTGCAATTTAATATTGACACACAAGATTACGCCTGTTTTATAATTATCATCCATCAAACAAAAAACAAATTTTTGATCTGATCTTGTCTTGGTTGGAGATTTATAAAATTCGGAAACTTTCAATGAAATTTTGTTTAAAAAAGGAAATGTGATACGGATGTTGTTTTGTTTATTTATTTGTCTTACAAAGAAAATCACGAGAAACATGTGATTTATCATTTCTTTGACGCCAAGTTAAGATGGTGAATTAACTGATAATTCGATATTTTATTATAACTGCGATATATTGATTCCAAAAATAAATAAATATGTTAAAAGAAAATCTATATAATCAAATCCTATAAAATATTGACATGATTTAAAAAATGTCCTTTCTAGTTTTCTCGTACTCTTTGAGGATCAAGCAAACTTGAACTTTCATTAGGTTCACTAGATTCACTAGATTGAGCTTCAATTTCACTAACAGATCTTGAAGAAATTCCACGCTTCTCTCTATAATACCAAACAAGACATAATGCAAGAAGAATTCCTTGTAGGATTCCTGCGATAAGGAAAGCAATCCAAGTGGACCAACTATTACCCTCACGAATTGCAAGAAAATACACGAGAAGAAACGTTCCTAGTTACATGAAGGAGAAAAAATATTAATAAATAGGAAGTTTATGCATGATGCACGAATTATAAAGTGGATTAATTTACCCGGAGTTTGAACTATCAACATGGGAATACTAAGAGCTCCGACAATCTAGATATAAAAATTATAACCATTAGAAGAAGAGTTAATATAATCATAGGAACGTTCTAAATGGTCGTACCTTGATTTCCCAAGTTTCCCAAATCTGAGGAAGATATTGAATTGATGCTATAAACATAGAGAGGACTCCTAATGCATCTGCCCAAATTTTGGTTATAAAATGTTCTTCAGCTTTTCCAACGAATATTAAAAGACAAGCTGAAACAATAAGCGTAAAGATGAAAAATGAAGCAACAAAGATTGCAACATAACGTGAAACACGCCATTTGATTGAAGATTTTAAACTATTATATCCACTCATGTCAGATATATATTTCTTATGTTCTGGAAAGTATGCTATGTACAATATTAAAAATATTGTAAACATAAACCATTGAATTATAATTTGAATAATTCCCAAAGTATTCTGAAAACAAAATCTACCAGACTAGAGAAATTTTAACAAAGAACTTTACATTTTGGTTTTTCCTTTAAAAAAGAGAGAAATATTCTTTGAAATTCACATACCACATATATCTTGTTAGCTTGTAGAATTAAAATATTGAATAAGTTGCATGTTATTGAAACAGATCCATATAAAAGAAACCATGGATTAATTCCTTCACTAGTCTTTGTGTTAAAAATTCTATAATGCTATCAAGTATTTTAATATATATACACGATATCTTTAGCATGATAACTTTGACCAAAGAATTCTTTTAGCTTACTTGTGGTACATAACAAACGAAGACACTAATTGCAATTATAGTTGCAATAAGTAAGTCTACAGGATCATTGAAACAGTGATCTGGGTCAACAAATAATAACAAACGTTCCATCTTTAAGAAAGAAGCTATTTGGCGTATTTTTTAATTTCCAGTTTTATAAGTATTATTTGAATGGAATGTCACACAAGATTACACGTAATTTAGATACTGATATCATGTGAACTAATATTTCCTGAAAATTTATTGTTAATAATTATACATAATTAAAAATAAGTAATCAATGTAATCAAGAATTATCATCTATTATGGTAAAATAGATTAATCCATCAAAAATCAATATTAGAATACAAAATTCGGAATACAACCTAAGAGATAACGGGTATTATTTTATGTTAGGTTCTTGATTTTGTGAAAATAAAAGTGTTTGTTTCAACAATTCATTCCTAAACAATAAAAAAAAAAAACATAAAAAATTGAACGAAATATTTATATTGATACATAATAAATATTCTATAGTTACCTTCTTTTGAAATCATATACTAGATCATCTAATCCAAATACACTAGATGATTGATCGAATTCTTCTTTATATTGTTTGCTTCGATTCTTTGCTGGTTGACTATCAAGAATAAAATAAAAATAAAAAAAGTTAAAAGATCTATATGTAATAAGTTCAAAATTCTTCGACCCTATTCTTACTTTGCCGACATTCCCTCAATGGTTAGCATTAAATTTGTATTAGAGTCTTTACCGCCCCCCGTTCCTGCGTTAGCATTCATTTGTGGCGTAGAACTAACTTTACAATTGGTTACTTGAAATTTATGACTTAAAGAATGAACAGCAGCAATACTTTCACCATCTTCACCAAGATTCACCAAGACGTATGAATCTTTAGGTACATCTGAGGGAAAGGGTTCATCCTCAAACACATAATGAACCGCTGGATGTTTCCAACACTGTTGCAATTGATCATGAATTACAACAAACTGTGGAACGGTTGAAGGTCCCGACGATGTTGTAGGTGGAGGTTGTTGCATCATGAAGGGTTTATAGGGTATGGAGTTGATATTCCTTATTAGCACCTTCACTTTTCGATCGGTACCCGAGTAGATCCCGTGATGAGCTATTTACCATTTAGGGGCATATTAAAACCTGATTCTGCGTAATACATTGCCACGCTCGTGACACAATTATGGGCTATGCGGCCCCTCTATTCTAATTAAATTTCCTATAATTTAATACCGAGTTTCATTATGCAAATAATCGCTCTCAATCTTATCTTTAAGGTTTTGATAATGTTAACAGGGTAGCTTATATACCTTAAATCAGGCTTCGTACTCATATATTTTATCAATTTCATAAAAAAAAAAAAAAAAAAAAAATATCATGTCTTCCATGAAGCCTAATTCTAATGATTCTAACGAAGAAAGAACAATGTTTATAGAAATACCTTCGTCAGATGTACAAAGCACCAACACAATAGCAGATGAGGAGGAAAACTCTTCCGATGAATCAATTTTACTACCCGACGATACCGCTAAGAAGCAAACTGCGCTTGATGCTGTTATAACAAAGATTGGAATGGGAAAATTTCAAAAACAATTGTTGGTTCGTTGATAAAAAGTTTTATTTATTTCGGTTGTTTTGTGGTCTTACTTGAAAATAAGTTTGATGGAAGTGATTTTCATAGAATCCGTTACAGGATATTACGAGGGTATCGAACAATTCAATAACTCGTTTTGTTTTCTAGGTACTTTGTGGATTAGGGTGGCTTGCTGATAATGTATATATTCTATTTATTTGTTATTTTTTTTTTTTTGGCAAAAAATCCACATTTTTCTGATTCAATTATTTATATAATAGATGTGGTTACAGGTAATATTTTTATTTTCACGTGTCTGTCATGTGCTTTCTTGTATAATGTTATACAAAAACATTTCTAATCCTCCTTTGGTTGGGAAATCTTTGAAAATTATGTCAATTGATTTAAAGTGTATAGCTGTTATATTACCGAGAGTGCAAAGTAAGTAATATATCAATGGGTCTCATTATATTATCATAACTTATAGTAACTTGCATATTTACATGTTATTATTATTTTATTGTTTAGGACATTTTGAATTGCCCGATTCACTCATCGGGGTATTGTCAAGTTCCTTGTTTACTGGTATGATGTTTGGTGCCTTATTCTGGGGTGTTCTTTCTGACACTCATGGTCGTAAACAAGCATTCAACTGGACTTTAGCTGTCACTACCGTTTTTGGTATATTTTCAAGCGTTGCACAAAGCTTTCCTCAATTATGTGCTATGCTTTTCCTGTTGGGATTTGGCGTGGGTGGAAATATGCCGGTCGATGGTAATAAATGATTTCTTTAGAATGATCTTATGGTCTCTGTTATTCATTAAGGTTAAACCTTTTTCATAAAAATTTGAAATTAGGTGCATTGTTCCTCGAATTTATACCAAAAGAGCACCAATACCTTCTCACTTTTATGTCAGTGTTCTTCTCACTCGGTGCAGTGCTCAGTTCAGTTTTGGCATACCTTATTTTACCACATAACAGTTGTCACGAAGGAACAGAAGGAACAGGCTTTGTACCATGTGATGTCTCTAATGAAAACAACGGTTGGAGATATTTGCTGGCAATTTTAGGATTTTTGGTTGGCTTTGGTTACAGTGATTGACCTTTTGTGTTTATATATTATAAAATGATATTTATTTTTTCTCTTTCAATCTTGTAGACGTTCTTCATGCTCATATCCCGTATTTTATTTTTTCGACTTCAAGAATCACCTAAATATTTAATGTCACGTAACCGCAAACATGATGCCATACTTGTGTTACGCAAGATCGCAAAGATTAATGGTAATGATATGCAGATTCATTCCAGTGACTTTCCAACAACTCCTGCTGCGAGTAATTCAAATTCTCGTAATGGTTCATTCACCGCTTTCCCTTTCCCGAATGAATCTCGGTATCATAAAGTCGATTTTGTCTCGGATCCAATAGCATATATCAAGTACCATGTGTCATCAAATTTGAATGCAGTCAGACCTTTATTCATAAGAAAATGGTTCGTCACGACCGTTCTTGTATGGGGTATATGGGCTCTGGTATCTTTTGCTTACACTATGTTTAACGTATTCTTGCCAAAATATCTTGAGAGTTTGGGGTTAAGTAACGGTGAAAAAGAGACCGGTTCATTGATGCGTGACGTTTTAAAGGATTATGTTATATATTCATTATGTGGAGTTCCCGGATCCGTGGTTGGATCATGGTTAATAGAAACTTTTCTTGGTCGTATTGGAACCATGTCATTTGCAACGTTTGGTACTGCGTTATCTGTGTTCCTTTTCTCGGCCGTTAAATCGCATTCTGGTGAAGTGATCTCTTCAGCTATGGTCAACTTCTTGGCCACACTGAATTACGCAGTTATATATGGATATACTCCGGAGGTTTTTGAGTCAAAAATAAGGGGTACAGCTTGTGGAATAGCATCTGCTTTTGGAAGAGTGTAAGTTGATTTCCTTCCTTTTATTCTTACATTGTGGAAATACTTTTTCTAATAAATTTGATTTCAATTCAGTGCTGGTATAATTGCTCCAGTGATAACAGGCATTCTCCTTTCAATTAGCATATCTGTGCCATTATACGTTTCTGCATTATTATTTGCAATATCTGGTGTTTGTATGGTCTTATTACCTATCGAGACTAGAGGAAGACAGGCTTAGCCTTTAGGATAAATATATTTATATATATATTAGGATCAATAGATGTTATTAATATGTATTATAAAAATTACATGAAAAATATTTTGGCTTTAAATAAATTTTATTTCTATATCGCGTCTTAATTGTATTGTATTGGTTGTCACGTTCTCGTGAGAATTCATGCAGTGTACCGTGACACAAAATTCTTGATCCGCTGCATGTTGGCGATTGTGCATGCATTATTGTTTTTTCCATTTCGTTAAATTTTTATAACTTTCTTTACTAATAGAAAAAAAAGAAGAAAAAAAAAATGAACGTAGATAAGTTTTTCAATATCCCTTCCAGTTCCATTCCAAGTGGAAAAAACAAGAGAAAGCTTACGGCAAATCCAAACATTGAAGTGCTCAAAGCAGTGCGTCAAAAGACAAACCCCGAAGACGACGAAGAACCTTCTGATTTTGTTACGGGAAATACAAATTTCAAAACTCCACAACCTATTTTGTCGAAAAGTGCCCTTTCCACTTCTAGTTCTTCAAAAGGAAAGGGAAAATCTGTACAAATATCCGATGAAGTGGAAGAGCAAGAATATTTTATTGATGAATATGAATATGAAGATGAAGAAGAGGAAAAAGGTTTCGAAGAGGAAGAAGGTGGAAGATTTTACGGAGGCGGATTAACTGAAAAGCAGAAGAGAATTCTAGATTTAGTTGATCAGACCGATATTGAAGAGGTTTGTTAAATATATCTATACTTTAAAATCAAAGTTAATTATTAATTAATTTGCATCATTCACGTTTATCAAAAGCCAGAAATATTAGATTTAACCGGAATGCGTAAAATGGTTATAAAGTTTCAAAAAGCTTTAAGTAAAAATCAAGAACTTCGCGTTAAATATCCTGATGATCCGACAAAGTAAGATTTTTACTTATTGTCATTATAATGTTCAAAACAGATTTTTACCGATTGTTTTCGTTAATTAGGTTTATGGAATCAGAAACGGACCTTGATCAAGAAATCAAACACTTATTAACTCTTACCGAAGTGCCTGATCTATATTCTCAAGTAGTTGAATTGGGAGCCGTAGCTTCTATTGTGTCACTTTTAAGTCACGAAAATACCGATATTACCATAGATGCGATAGAACTATTGAACGAATTAACGGACGAAGATGTTGTTGCGGAAAATGACGAAAATGCAATGAAGATTTTCATTGATTCATTGGTAATATTATTATTCTTTATAAGGTATGATTGTTTTGGTACCAACTATGTTTTTTGGAATATTAATATATTAAAATTCTTTTTGATGATATTAGCTTGAAAATCAAGCGTTGGAACTTTTAGTTCAAAATCTAGATAGATTAGATGAAAATGAAACTACTGATAAGCAGGGAATTTTCAATACACTTGGTATAGATCCCTTTATATGATAATAAGAATAATAATATTTTGATAATAATATTTTTAAAATTAATTTGTTAGGCATAATTGAAAATTTTACTTCATTTGACCCCGCAATATCTGAGAGAGTTGTTCGCGACACGAATTTACTACAATGGATACTTAATAGAATTAGAGTCAAAACATTTGATTCCAATAAACAGTATTGTAGTGAATTGCTGGCGATTTTATTGCAAAACAGTCGAGGTATTTATGTTTCATGAAAGCGGTATATTAATTTAAATATTTTAAATATTTTATTTATAAAGATAAAATTTTCATTATTTCTTTAGTTAACAGGTTGAAACTTGGAGAGTTTGGTGGAATTGACGTTTTGTTACAAGTGCTGAATGTATGAATTTTTTATTTTATTTGACAGTTCGGTTTATTAGCATTAAAATAGTTACCGATTAAAAACAAATAAAAATTATGTATATCATAGTCCTATAAACGTAGAGATCCAAAGGATGCCGATGAAACAGAAATGATGGAAAATTTTTTCGATGCGTTATGTTTAGCATTGGAAGAGTCAGAAAATAAACAAAGATTTCTGGAAGGCGAAGGTGTCGAACTGATGTTAATTATGATGAAGTAGGTATTAATGTTGGTTTTTAACTATCGTTGTAAATTTCTAGCTAGAACTAATAGTATGTGATCAACTACTAGAGAAAAAATGATGTCTCGCATGCGTTCGTTAAAAGTATTGGATCATGCATTGTCATCACCTGATGGGTTGAAAAGCTGCGAACGTTTTGTAGAAATATTTGGGCTTAAGACGCTCTTTTCTACTTTTATGCGTAAGGTAAGGTAATATGGAATGGGCTGATGAAATATTATTTTATATATTCATATATCAAAGGACTTTTTTACTTGGTTACGGACTCGTGTGCTATTAAATCGCATCTGATGTGGTTTTTCGATTATATAACCTGTAAAGAATATATTTAATATGTATTATTTTATATTATAATAGGGTTTAAAAAAGCTCAAAAGATCTTATAAAGCGTTCTCCGAAGTCGAAGAAGAAGGTACCATTAAATTTTTTTTTTTATGAACAAAAGAAAATTTATTTTATCGATTCATTAGTGGTCCTTTAACGCACTTTTTTTTTTTTGAAATTAATTTTTAGAACATGTAATGGGAATAATTGTTTCGTTATTAAAAAGCCTTCCACGCGATAGCGAAGCTCGAATGCGACTGATAAATAAATTTATTGAAAATGATTACGAAAAAGTGGACAGATTATTGGAAATGAGAGAAAGTTATGAAGCTAAAGTGGCAATCGTTAATAAGGAGATTGAAGAAGAAAAAGAGGTATTTACGGACATATTCTTTCAAGCTACGAAGTCTTTTCTCTTTGGCTAATCTAAATCATTATTTTAGGATTTAGAAGATGATGATGGTGAAATGGAAGAACATTATTTAAGACAGAGATTGGATGGAGGATTGTTTACTTTACAGTACGTGGATCTTACAATTGCGTGGATTTGTCACGAGGAGTCTACGGTACGTAGCATAGCATTAATATTGACTTCTAAACAAAACGAAGATATAAAATCGTAAACAATTACCTAATTACCATAACAATAACGACAATTATTGTTGCGTTATGATCGATCACATGAGATGTAATTAATTTAACTTTGATCGCCATTGCGTTGTGTAACATTAAATCTTTAATTCCCTTTTCCGGAAACCGCGAATAGATCAAAGACCATGTTCGAATCCTTTTAAATCGGACAGGACATAGCTTATCTAATGTAAAGACTGTTTTAGAAGGTAAGGCAAAGGTTTTCATTCTTTGTCTGTTAATCTTTTTGATAAAAAAATGCTATTCCCCTTATTCGGAATTTCGCGATATGCTGTATTCCCATTTTGGAAACGTTTAATTTATTAATGATTCAAAAAAAAAAAAAATTTTTTTTCTTGGTATCACCAGAGTATTACAAAAACATAGGCGATGATGATCAGGTTAGGGCTGAAGCAAATAACGAGGATCATGTTTCCAGTGAAAAAGTCAATAATTCGATGGACGTAGACAACGAATCATTAATTTTAACAAAGACAAGTGACACTTTAAAGGAGAGAGTATTGAAAGAAAAGCAAATAGTTGAAATGTTGATTGGTTCATTATAAACAATTGTTTTCAAAACAAATATCTTTATGTTAAATAATGTTTTCTCAGATCTTGTCAAATATTTCTTAGCGTTCTTTATGATGTAAGCTATTTATTTTATTAAAATCATGTTTCGTGTATGACCAAATAAAAATCTTTAACTTGCATTGTAAAATTTAAAACTCTTTATAAGGTTAATAATAAAATCGATATAATTTTTTTTTTTTTGATTGGATAATGAAGAAAAAAAGGAATTTTAATAAATGAATATTACAGAAGTTAATTGGTAACGAAAAAAAAAAAAATAAAAGATTTGAAGTTTCAATACTCGTGCGACATCGTGTAATTCCAAAATCACTATAGAAGGCTTAACATGAATTTAAAAAATGTTGACTTGCATAATGGTACATGGACGATGTTATCCATTTTCATCATTTCGTGTTACCGACATTCGTGGTCTTTGTCGTAACCGAAATCTTTGTCAGTCATGCATATAGCCACGCTACTTCAAATATTTTCCAATCTAGTAAACAAGGTGACCCTCCACAAAATGTCCATTTCTATAACTAGATAACAAGTTGACTTTGTGTATTTGACCGAAAATTTTCACCATAAAAGATGTTGATCCAATTCTTTCTCTTTATTTTATCTGTTATTTAAAAGTATTAAAAGGCGCTTTTCGAACTCAATGGTCGGAGAATTAGGGATATTTTTTTGGTAGTTTAATAAGACTTTTTTGGATTTTGTTAACGCAATTCATATAAAGTATCAATTTCAAATCCCTTTGTCCAAAAAAAATTCACTTTCCTTTTCATTGTCATTTCACCTCATAAATATTTCCATCATTATCATCTTGTAATATATCTTTCACGCTGGCGTGTGCAGCCTTCAATTTATAATTTTTTTTTTTTTTTTTTTTTTGTTAATATTACATTCCAAACCCTTTGTACAAATAAAATTTCAACCATGACTCGCTTCACGCCTGCAACTTTCAAATCCATCCCTCTTCTCCTGTTATTAATATCGTCTTGCGCCATAAATGTCCTTGCTAGTCCAACCCTGCATCAGGACATGATTTACGTTAGTGATAATTCTGATAGCATTGATAATGTTGTCACAACGTCAGATGGGAAACCAGCCGAAGGATTCGATTATACAGAGGAAAATGCAAATTTAGTTCCAGTCACCGGAACACCAGAACCAACAGTCAGCTCCATTGTACGTTAACTTTACTCGAAATTCAAATATTTTTTTTCTTTTTTTGAAAACAAGTTAATTTTTTAACCCTCATTCTTTGCTATTCATAGGGTATATTATTCAGTCCAGGTGATGTTTGCACTGACGCTCCTAAATCTATCCCATCAGAAATTGCTCAAATTGCTCGATACAAACGTATTGCCCTGATTAAGCAAGGTGCATGTTCGATTTATGATCAGATTCAAACCGTTCAACAACAAGAAGGAGTGGTTGGTGCGATCATTTATAATGATGGAACTACAACTTCATCGTCATCAAAACCAAATTTTGTAGCAAAGATTCCAGTTTTTCGTGTCAAAGGTGATAGCGGTAATGAATTGATGAAGAGTTTGGAAAATGAACTTAACCAACAAGCTACTGAATCTCAAAGAAAAATGATCAGAATTGTTATGTTACCCTCTTCAGGTTCATTTGGTGGTTGGCAAATTGCAATCATCGTTATTGGTTCATTACTTGCCGCTTCGTTCTTAGTATCAGGTAAATAGATTTATATAAGCTTTTTTTGTTTTCTTCACTCATTTACTTCCCAGAACTAATCGTCCTTTTTAAATTTTTTAGTTTTGATTCATTGCCGCTTATATCAACTTAGACGACGTGAACGATCTTTGATGGTTGCTCAACATGAAGCTAATGTAAATGCCAAATTACAGACTTACACTTTAGAAAAATCTGTAGTTAAATCTTTCCCTATCAAGGTCTATAGCAAACAAGACAAAATCTCTGCCGTTTTTCAAGTTTCCGATTCCTCTAGATCTCCAAATGGACCTGACGTTTGTTCTATTTGTTTAGAAGAATACTCTGATGGTGAAACATTGAGGGAGTTGCCATGTTCTCATTTTTATCATATAGATTGTGTGGAAAAATGGCTTACAACAAAATCATCACATTGTCCTCTTTGTAAGCAAGATGCTACTCCACCTGCAATCGCCGAGAAACGCGAAAAGAGATATGTCCATACAGTTCAAATTCAAAATAATCTTGATAACATCTATAATACATCTAATGAGACCAGAAATAATAGAAGAAATAGAAGTGGCGAGAGTTCCTCTAAATTGTCAAGGGTTTTGGAATTGTTCGGATATGGTTCAAGCAGTCGGGATGCTCAATCATCTCATGTGAGACCCACTGGCGGAAATCTCTTTGGCATTCAAGAACTTCCTCCTGTTGTTGTTCGTGATGGAAACTTAAACCGCATGGTATAATCGAATTCAAGGAACATGATGAAATTCATCATCATCTCAAGGGGATTCATGTAGCGACATCAACCAGAACAAACTTAATCATTTATACATATACGCACAAACTACTCACAATCACTTCCCACTCCTCATCCCCTCACCCCCTCACTTTCCATCCATGTAAAAAATTATCATGAATTCCCAACTTTAGACTCATTTGGCATTTGTTTGAAACCCTTGCATTTTTACATTCGCATTTGTAATTCACATTAGCATTTTTGCATTTTTTTCTCATTTACGCTCATATTTTGCACACTTTGCATTCATCATACATAGAATTTAAAATATATACTTGCATTCGTATACATGATAGATTTATACAATTTTGCATTCATTACACGGTATATAACAGCATTTTGCATTTTTCAATAGCATAAATTTATAAATATATATATTTTTTTTTTGCATTCTCTTTAAAGACTTATGATCCATTACATACCGGGCTTTTCGCATTATCACTAAACAAATTTTTATTTCTATTTCAAAACTTTTTCTGTTTTTTTTTTCTTCTTTCACATATATATATTTTTAAGTGCTTATTCTTCATTACTTCATTTTACATCAAGGGTAGTCGATTTAATTATTGATTATTTAATCGATTCATCATTTTCATATTATCTCCTCTCCTCTTCCTAAATACTTCCATGAAAATCCGATCCCTTATAAAGTCGAAAATTTGATTTTTCTTCTTACAATAAATATATATATATATTCGCATACTATCTTTTATATCTATTTGTATTTTTTATCATTTAAAGATTTCTCAGATTCTTTTGTAAAAAAGAATTGTTTTCTTAAAAGAAAAAAATATCCAATAAAAAATTCCATATAAATATTTTTATACATTCAAGAGTTCGAGTAAATGATATTTAAGATTTACGTATAAATTTTTTTCAAATTAAATTTCGAGCGTTGACATCATCCAAAGATAAAGATTCTTCGTTATACAGTCCTTTTATACACTTTGAAAGGTTAATTCTTTTGCGACCCATAAAAAACACTTTATTATAAAATATACAGTATAATGAACATTTTAAGCAGAATTATTATTGATACAAAAATAATAACTAAAAAAATTAATTCGTTTTCAAGATAATATTTAAAAATAAAATATACAGCAATACTTCACGTTTGAAATTGTCCAAGTTGAAGACCGTTTTTCCAAGCCCGGCGTGTTGCTAAAGTTGTACAATAAATTGGTTGAACGAATATATATTTGGCGTATTTGATTGGGTTAATATTACGTGATTATTGTGATTTATCCAACTTTAAACGCGCGTTTTAAGAAACTTTTTTCTCATCACCAGACAAGTTTTAAATAACAAATATTTCAAGGTTATAACGTAATTCTATCCCTCAACTATTCGAAAATTTGCTTCCAAGATCTTAGCACACTATTTCGTAAGTATTGAATCATTCGATTTCTTTCGATTACTTCCTTATGAAAGCTTTTTCACACCTTTTATCTATTTACCTAACAGGCAGAACATGATTTGTATAATGATACAAAGTGCGTTTAAAAGCCTTGAAAGTTTTTGCTCATTGAGTGTGGATTATGATTCCATTATGAAAACTTTGGATATCCAAATGGACAGTATGTATCTAATTAGGTAAATGTCCAACGAAACCATTCAAGTCGCGAGCACATTCGAGGCTAACGACTATGTCTTGCCCTTATTGGAGAGACTTTAACTGTTTTACAAAGATGTGAATATATAGAAACGCAATTCATTCGACTTGCTTCGAAAACCCTTCCACGGCTCAACACCATTGAAAACATTAAATATAACTGGTTCCTTTCAACAGGATCCTACGTTACATATGTTCATATTTCGGACATGGAGCTAATAATTATCTAAATATTAATGAAGGTTATTAATCAACTTTAAAAGTTGGGCTTTTGGACTTACAGTAACAGATTGTAAGGAATTTAAAAGTTAAACCTACGATGCTCAAATGGATTAAATTTATTGAACTCGTTCATAAACAAGCTGGGAGCAAATTCGAGGCCAGTAATCAAGATCCAAATAGATTTTGATCCCGCAAATATCATTTAGCAAATTCAAAGATAATACAAAACCAATAATTCAAGTCCCTTTTTAAAGAAATAATTGATATGACTATCAAAGAAACACATTAAATGCCCTTTTAAATATATCATCACCACCATTATCGAAATCCTTAACACCATCACAATTACATTCTTTACAATCATTTCCTTCACGGTCTTTACAATTATTTAAACTTTCCCCTTTCCCTTTCCCTTCATCACCGTCACCATCATTATCATCAACATCAACAGTAACAAGCGCAACACCACCACCACAACCACCACAACCGTCACAACCATCACAACCACCATTACCACCATTACCACCAGGATCATCACCACCAGTATGATCAAATCAATCAATAATAATATTTTAATAAATTTACATTATCATTATAATTTTTAATTATTTCTAATTATTATAATTCATCAAAGACTTGTTATTGTAATAGTTAGACAATTAGGTTAGTTAATGTTCTGATATCCTACAAAGATATCAGAATTATTGTTTTGAATGTTGGTCAACAAGTAGCCATATGGCAAAAAATTGCCTATTATCTAGTAAAAGATCACTGTAAAAGTAAAAAATTTAAAATCAATAATTAAATGTTTATTTAATATGAATTATTTTTTAAAAATTAAAAATTAATAATTTTAGTTAATGTTAATGCTAATATCAAAGCTAAAGTTAAAGTCAAAATTAATGCTAATGCTAATGCTAATATTATTATCAAAAAAAAAAGTCTGAAAAAGAGCCATTACCATCAATAAAACCAATATTGAAATCAAAGTTAATATCAAAAAAAAGCAATATTATTTATCAAAATCAATGTCAATGTTAATACTAAAAAAAAAAAAATTAGCTTTTATTTTTTTTATTTTAATTTTTTTTAAAATTATATTACTAATATTTTATATAATGATGTTAGATAAAATTGAAATATTTAATTATATGATAAAACTGAAACTATTTATATTTTAATAATTAAAATGCCAAAATGCTGAAACTTTATTTCCATAATTCTTCTATAAATATTTCATAAATTTTAATCACAATTTTTAATAATATTTTATTTTACTATAAATTCTAAAAATTTAAAATTTTTGTAAATAAAATATTACTTATTATATTTTGTTTATTATATAGAAAGTTTAATAGAAAAATTTTTAATAAAATTTTGATTTATTGTATTTAGTTTTTGATATTATTAGATTAAAATCTTAATTTTAATCAAAAAATTCTTAGAGCCTGATTTTTTTTAGCAAACTTCTCATATAAATAATTCTTATCTATAATATTAATTAGTAATATTTTTTGATTATATATTAATATAAATAATAAAAAATTAAAATTAAAATTAATAAATATTAAATAATAATATATAAGGCCTTTGCAATAGAAAGGGAGGAAACTCAAAAAAAAATAAAAAATGAGTTAATAATAAATCTGAACAAATTATAGTATTTAGAACATTTTTGGCTTATAAACTAAAATTTTAATTTTTTTGGAGTTTCCTCCCTTTCTATTGCAAAGACCTCATATTTTTTAATAAAGATAAATAAATAAAAATTTATAATTTATATATTAAAAAACAATTTAGTCATTTACTAAAAGTTTATTTAAAGTTTAGACTTTAGTTAAAAGTTTAATTAAACACAAAATTTGACAAAAGTTTAGTCATAATAAAAATAATTTATGTAGGTATCACTAATTTTACAGTTTAATTTTTTTTTTATATTTATGTTATCAATGGAATAATTGACTAATCATAATGAAGTCATGTAGATGATGCAGTATAATGATCTTCTAATCCAGAATTCTGAAAATATAAAGAATTTATATAATTCTAAAGATCTTTCAAATACTAATGATAATCCTAATTTTATGAATTAAATGAAGTCTAAGAATATTTAATGTTATACTTATTGTTAATATTCTAAATTTTATTATTATTTTTATTATATTTTATATTTTTATTATTTTATGTATTTTTATTATTTTCAATATATTTATTTTACTTATATTTTATTTTACCAAATTAGTTAATTTATAGAATAGTAATTAGTTAGCTGTGATAAAAGAAATTTTGTATAAATAAATAGACTTTTTGCTTATGTTGTAAATTAACTCTCTTACGAATACAAGTTTCAATATTAATAAAGGAATCATTCAAAACTTATATCTTTCTGCCTCTTTGTGTCTTTATATAGTCTGACGTGATTCCTACATATTATTTGTAATTAAGTTCATCATCTAAAATTCTTTAACTAAATTATTCATAGTCTCGTCTTTCAGATCTTCATATTTGATAGATTTGTTTAAGTTTAAACACATAGATTTGGTAAAGCTAAGAGTTAGACAGATCTTAACATTTTAAATGCAGTAAGTTGTAATTAGTAATCTTGAGTAAAAACTTGATAATGTGACTAATCCAAGTTGAAAAATTCTACAGTAACAATATATTCTTAAGATACGTCTTCTAGCAAAGAAGCATATTATGATCTCAGTAATAAAATATTTACTTATTAGTATACAGTTTCTTTTAAAATATCGACTGGTAATTATTTCTTCACCATTTATTACTTGATTTGACAAATAGTTTATTATAAATAACAAATAATTTTACAAAAAAAATTAATTAAATAGTTGAAGTAGTATATGAGCACTTTTGCTAGTAAATTGATTCAAATATTTATTTCTTCTCATATTTTTACACAAGATATATCTTTTCTACTAAAGTCAATAGATTATATCTATAAAATTTTAGTATCAGATGTAATAATTAGATTAACTTAGAATGTTTATAATAATAATATAACTTTAGAATATGTAAGAAAAATTATGACTGATAGCATAGAATTTAGCATTTATATGAATAACACTGATTAATCATTTATTTTTCTGCTTGCTTTTTTTTTAATAAAAAAATAAAAGTTATAATATTTGTTTAATAATCAAAAATGCAAAACTATCATCATCAAAAATATCACGTACATGATATTTTCAAATTAGATATTTAATCAACATCATTAATTAAAAATGCTATATTTTTTAATAATCAAAAAAGTCACATAGTTTATATAATAAACTTTTATAATTAAAAAGCAATATTTTGCTAATTAAAAATGATTTATTTGTATATGAGAATCCTTTAACAAAAAAATAAAAGATTACAGAAAATGTCAAAAAAAGTTTTAAATTTGACATTGCAAAAATTCTTTATAAAGTAATTATTTTATAATTAATATAAATTATTAATTAAATAATATACCTTAATAATATATAAAATATAATAAAATAAAATTTATTATTAATAGTATTATAATATAATTTTTAACAATAACTTATCTATTAAAAAAATATATATATATTTATTAAAAAAATTATTATATACTTTATAAAAATATATTAATTATTATATATATATTAAAATATAATAATATAAATAATATTAGAAAAGTAGCAAAAAATCTTTAAATTTAAAAAAGAATTTAAATAAAGTTTAAATTTTACAGTTACTTTATTAAATGATTTATTTGAAAGATTATAATTAAAAGATAAGAATTTTGAGATTTTTGAAATTTCATCAGAATTAAAAAAAATGTATTATAGTAGTAATGTGTATTTTATATTTCTAATAATATAAAATTTGATTGAAAGTAAGGTTGTTAATTGGCTTGAAATAAACCATTTAGCTGTAATTTAAATTTAAACTGATTAAAATAGTTTAATCTGATTATTATTGTTTAGTTAAATCATAGTTTAAATTGCAGTTCGATTATATTATTAATAATAAACATGCATATAATTATGGATTTTATAATTGTTATTTTTTTATATAATATCTGATGATCATTAATAATAACATTTTATTTTTAATTATTGGTAAATTATGTCTAATATAAATAATTAAAATAATTTTTCAAGTTTTAATTCTAATAACTTGTTAAATAATTTTTTACAAAATAGTAGAGAATCTATTCATAATACTAGAAAAAGTTCTATATTATCAATGAATTAATACTTTACTCAAATAAAAAAATCACAAATTTGCAACTATTATAATATTAAATATAATAATACAATATCTATTGAAACATTAAAATACATATGAAAAAAATTCATTAAAAAATTTATGAATCAAAAATATATATAAAAATTATTTATATAATCAAAAAGAAAATCTGAACGTAATAAAGTTTTAATTAACTGGATAGTTTTAAGTATATAATCTTATTCTATTATAAAAGAAAATTCATTTATTAATATGATAAAAAATTTGATCAACGCTATTAATTACCAAGCTGATAATATATTAATCTTATATAATAAAAGAGTTTTAAATTCAACAAGAAAAATTAATTTATAATCTATAAAATATTTCAAGTATATAGCATTAACAACTAATATGTAGACTTCTGAAAAGAACTATAGTTTTTTAAACATTACTATTTATTGGATAGATAATAACTGGCAAATGTGTAAATTTCTATTAAATATTATTCTATTTTATGATTCTTATTCTGATAATAATATAGCTAAAACTTTAATAAATCTATTAATTAAATATAATTTTATCACAAAAATTTTAGCATTAATTACTAATAATCATTTTGTCATAATTGTATATGATCACAAATTAGATGATAAATTAAATATAAAATTAATAATACTTTATTTTCTTATTACCAATGTGAAACTCATATACTTAACCTTACCATACAATATAGTCTTCAAGTATATGATATAGTAGTTTAAAAAGTTTGTAATTTTATGAAAAAAGTTTACAAATCTAATTTATTAATAAAAGATCTACTATACATAGAATATTTGAAACACAAAATATTTCGTATCTAAGTCCATAAATTGATATTGATATATGATAGAATTTTACTTTAATGTTAAAAAATTTTCAAAAAATTAAAGTATAAGCTAATATATTTATTGCATAATATCTAAATATATTTAATAATATACAAATGATGATTGAAGATTGAACAAATTTAAATGTAAGTATATAATATTTCAGAATTTTTTTTACTACTTTATTTTTAAATTATTTAAATTATATATAGGAATTATTATCAATTTTATTATCTATATATTTTGCTACAATGCAGATCTCTATAATATGAACTTTTGTTATAGTAAAAATGAAACAAATTTAAAATGCAAAAAAAAAATTTTATTATATATAAAATTGAAGATTTAATTTATAAAATAAATAAACCATAACCTGTACTTTAAGAATCTTAGATTATAATTTTAATATCTTCAATATTGATAAAGTTATACAAAATTAAATTTATTCAAAATTAATTATAAAAACTGAAATTAAAAAAAAAATATGTGATAAGAGTGATTCTTTTATTATTTATATATTTTATCTTAAATATTATTATAAATTGAATTATATAAAGATGTATTAGATATAGTAAAAAAATACATAAGAATATTGTAATTATACATAGATTAAATTATAATAAAATTTTTTTAAAGCATTAAATTCAATTTCTTTAATTACAATTCAAAAATATGCATAAATTTATGATGATTTATAAATATTTATAGAAAAGGTAATACTAGAAAACTGACAGTGTTGTAACTAAAAAATATAAGTTTTATTATTATGTATTTAATGCAATTTATAATGAAATAATAAAATAAAATAAAATAAATTATTTCATATGATTTTTAATTCTAATTAATAATTAGCTCATATATATATTACACAATACTTATATTATTTACCAATTTAAAAAAACTTTTAAATCATTTTTTTTATTTGATTAAAATTTAATTAGTAGATTAAATTTTATTAATATTTTTTTAAATTTCTATTATAGAAGTTTCGCATTGTATATTAGTTCTTTTTTCATCTTTATTCTCGATTATTAGAGATTTTTATTTTACTTTTTAGACTAAAATAATATTTAGAGCATAAAATTGCTAATAACATAACACATTATATGATTATTAATTTAATTCATCATAAATTTAATGAATATTATCTAACTATTAACATTATTATAAGAAATATAATAGTTATAGATCTTTGTGTTAAAAGTTCAATTTTTGAACTTGGTAATAAAACTAATAATACAATATCTTTAGTATATAATAAGATCAATTATTACATAACTATAGTAATTATAATAAAATCAGTCAGATCAAGACATATAATATTTATTAAATTGATACTCGTACATATTTAAGAATAATTGCTAATCAATTTAGATTTGTTATATAACCTTTTACAAATAATAAATTAGAATGATATTTTGCTTTACCTATAAATAATAAATATAATCTACTAAAATAGTAAAAAAATTCATCAAAAATAATTTTTATCAAGTATAACATACAATTATTTTGCTATTTAGATAATTAGTATATTATATAAATAAATATTTTTAATTGCAAGACTTACTATTTTTAAGTTATATAACTAATTATATTCTGATATTGTATAAGCATTATTATGCTTAAAAAGTTAGATAGTTGAAAAAATTAGTGAAAATTATATTTTATAAATAGCATAAAGTTTATATTATCTAAATTGATTATTATATATAAGTTGTGAAAATTTATTATTATTATTTAAAACAAAAAATTATAAGGATCATAAAAACTAATTAAAAATTCTAACAAATATATAATTAACATTAATTATAGACTTCTAGATATATAAATTATATTTGAACTGCATATATTAAGCTATAATTAAGTCAAACTATAGATTTTTAAAATTAAATTAACTAAATTAACTTGATAATATTCCTAATTAAAAGCTTTTCTTATTAGAGAATTATGTTTCTAACCTTTTTAAAAGTACTCTAAAAGTGTTTATAATTTTCTAAATGCATATTACTACATTATGAAATGCAGTTTTTTTATTGATTTCACATTAATAAAAGAAATTAAAAATTAAAAAAATATAAAAAATAAAATTAAGTATTTTAATTATTAAATTTATTAATAACTTAAATAAATAATATCTAATTTACTTATTTTATTTATAGCTAATAATACTTAATCATTATTACCAATTTCAATTTTTATTTTTTTAATAAAAATATAGTGAAGATATTTATAATATATATTTACCAATCTAAATTTCTTAATATATATTAATAAATTATATTACTTATTGATTTAGTATTAGCAATAATAAATATTATAAAATTTATGATAATATTTATAGTATTAATACTAATAAATTATATGAATACTTTGTAGTAAAAAGAAAAACTAGCAAAAAAATTTTTTTTTTACTTATAAACTAAATATTATTTTTTTTAATAAAATAAATTCAGATTTCAAAAAAAAGTTTTTTGGTAGTTTCTTTTTTTTCTACTATAAAGCATTTAAATTATTTATCTATATAGGCATATAAGATAAAATTAAATAAAAAAAAAAGAAAAAAAATAAAATAATAAATATCATAGATAAAAAATATATAAAAATAAAAAATATAAATATGACTATAATATATATAGATTAAAATAAATTAAGATATATATTTATTTTAAAAAAAAATATTAATAATGAAAAAAAATTTTGTTAACTTATTTAAATATAATATGTTATATTTATAATATTATTTTTAATCATTATAATATAAAATAACAACTAAAAATAATACTGTAAAAGAATCTTAAAAATCTAAAAATCAAAATATAGAAGTATCAAATAATGATAATATTCTATTTGATATAAAATCAAAAGAAGAGATTAAAGTATTAGATAAAGAGTTTATTTTAATAAAAAATATAAAAATAGATATTAAGCAAAATAATATAGATTAAGAATTAAAAAATATTTTATCTAAAATATTTGTAAATATTATATTAAAATACTATGATAAAATAGAAAAAACTTATTATTTAGCTATTAATATATTTTAATTATAGTTTATTTGAGTATTTAACATTTATACCTAATAGGGATATTAAGCAATTCTTAACCAGTCTTTACAATTTAAAAGAATACTAACTCTAATAAAGTCTAATTACTTATCTATAATAAGTAATCCTCATCAAAAAAATGTCATAAAAATTTTATAATTAATTTGTAAAAGTAAAAATAATATTCAAATTAACAATTTTGATAGAATTACTAAATATAAAATTAGTCCTTAGAATCTAGTTCCAAGTCCTTAAATTTTAAATTTTAAGAAATTCTAAGATTTCAAAAAGGTTAATTATATATTTTCATTTTAGTAACTCATTAAAACATTATAATAAACAAGTTTTATAATAAATTTATAAATATAATTCTTTGTAATTTTCTTAGGATTTTTAGAACTATTTAAGATCGCTTAATATTTTTAATATCTAAAAAGTAATATTTACTATAAAATATATATTAATAATTCAAATGTATTATTTTAAAATAGGTAAAGTATTAAAATTTTATCAAATAATATTTAAAATAGTAAATAAAGAAAAAAATTAAAATTAATTTTTGATATATTAATCAATAAAAAATTTTTTTATATTAAAATTATTATACTTGTTGGTATCATATATTCAAAAAAATAAATAAATTTTTTTAATAACATTTACATGATCAGTTAAATAATGAAAAAATTAATTATTTTATTTATTTAATCTTAGACTATTCTTTAAGTCTTACAGTTATTTATTATATTTGAATTAATTTATATCTTAGAATTTAAAATTTATTTAGTAAACCAAATGACAAATTTAGAAGCAAGTTAATATATATATATCACAATTAAATTTTAGATAAAAGACTTTATTGAAGAAAAAATAATTTTTATAGATTTAACTGATTTTTTTATTTTATAATTTATAAAACTTACATAAGAATTCTGAAACTTACATAAAAGTTATTTTACAATTTAAGTAAATTGTTATAATTAACTATTTTACTATATTATAAAATAATAAAATCTTATAAAATAAAATATAATAAAAATATAATAAAAATAATGTTATATTAAAAAATTAATATTTAAAGGATTTAACAAATTAAATAAATTTGATAAATCAGAAAAATAAGATAAAATTCTGTATATCTTTCAAATCAGATAAATTAATCTAATTTTTTTGACATAATATATTGATTAATTTTAATAATATAATATATAATCTTTCTTATATAATCTATATGAAATTAAATTTAATAATTTTTACAAATTATTTTTTCTAAGACTATCAAATGATTTTAATTATTAAATTTATTTTTTTATTTTTTATTTTATTATAAAAAATAAAAAATCATATTTATAATTTAAAAAGCTAATTATAATAAAGATTACTTATTTTTTAAACAATTTTTATTGTTATTATTTTAGTAAACTTTATAATTAATTTTTTTTAATTTTTATTTTAAGAAAAATAAATCTTATTTAAAATAAAAAATATTAAATCCTATTATATAAATTTTTTAAAATATCAAATTTAAATTATATTAAAAAATAAATCAGTAACAAATATTTTATTATAAACGGAATTTAAAATAAATTGAAAATAATACTTTTATTATATATTTAATTAATAAAACTTAAGTATAATTATAATAAGATTTAAAATAAATTAAAGATAAATATTTTATTATATATTAAATTAAAATAAGGTTTAAAATAAATTAAAAAACAATATTTATTAAATAATAAATTTAAAATATAAATTGTTAATAAATAATAATTTATTATTAAAAAGTATTATTAAAAAAGGAAATTAGATAAATATAGTTTAACAATTAATTATAATAATACAAATAAAAAAATTGTCTTTATAAATTACTTCATTTTAAACTTTTTTTTTTCTCTGAATTTTCTTAAATATAAAATCAAAAATAAGCAAAAAAAAAGTCAATTTTTAGTATATTTGATGATTATGATTATGATTATCATTAAATCAAAGTTTAACTACATCTTTTTATAAAAAAAATGATTGATTATTAGTTTAATTAAAAAACTATCTTTATTTCTAGGCTATCAATATCTTATAATATAAGAATTAGATATCAAGATTCATAAAGTTATTTTTTAAATATTTTTTATTAATTTAGAATTTAAGAAGAAATTAGAAAATCAACAACATTGATTTCAACTTGGCAGATCTTAGAAATTATTGAATATGAATCTGATGATTAAATATCAAAAGTATGTAAAAAGGTTAATAATATTCAAAATTTTTAAAATTTAAAATTTTCATTAGAAATTAATAAGAAATAAAAACATGAAAAAAAAGATAAAAAAAAAATAGTTTAAAAATACCAAATTCATATTCCTCCAACTTTATATGTCGATCACTAGATAAAGTTGAGACATGATAAGAAGAATAATAAATATTTATTTTAATTCGTTAAGAAATTATATTAAAACTTGCATACTGTAAGAATAAGAAAACTTATTAAATTATTGTATATTAAATTAAGTATCGATTGTTTTTTTTGTGATTATTATAATTCCAATCTCTAGCAGGACCGATACGAATTCTTCCAGGAGAATTTAAAGAGACAATAGGATAAAGTTTAGAAGGAAGATTATTCCAATTAGAAACAGAAGAATGTCTTGTACCATTAATAGAGAATGCGATGGATCTTTCAGTCATATCCAAATGTACGGTAATTTTAGTACCAGAGGAAAATTCAGTAACATAATGTAAACCAATATTATTATGATAACATTTCCCACTAGAACCAAGAACCCAAGCACAAGATTGTTGACCGGCAAAAATATTATAATCAAGACCACGTTCAGTACAAACACCAACCCAAGCATACATACAGGTTTCTTCAATAGTAACTTCCCATTCAAAAATTCCTTCACCGCTAATTAAATTATTTGCTCGAACATTTTGATGTGTATTTACACCACCAGGAATACTTTCTACCACAGAATTATTTTCTCTTAATAATAAATTTGAGCCTTTAGCATTTTTTTCCCATTGCAAATTCCATTCGAATAAAGGAATACCACGCATATGAGGTAAAGATTTTTTTTCTCTAGCTTGAAATCTATAAGCATCTAATAAACGTGATGTTGGTAATAATTGTAAAGGTTCAATTATATCAGCCAAAATATTTATTTCAATCCTTCTGAAATCAATAAAAGGGAGTAATGTTGATAGCATTTCTTTTATCACGGGACGAATTTGTTCATATGATGTTAAATTTTCATCCGATTCATTATCAGAATATTCTTGTATTTTGTTTAATTCATTCCAAATTGGTAATTGACTCTCGATGATCGGAATAGCCTTTTCAGATATATCATGAGTGGCTTGTATGACAGCATGACGAAATATCGTGTATTCAGGGGTAACGAAAGGACCTTGAGTTGAATAAGTTTGAGAAAGTAGACATTTTAAAGCTTGAAAAGACAATTCGTCAAACCCAATAACTTCCAAAGGAATTTTTGCGACCCATTCAATTAATAATGTAAACATTTCATTATCAGCGTTAGGAGACATCTTCTCTACAGCTTTTGATAATAATTTAGGAGCAAGTTCACTCCTTGCATGATTATCAAAATTTTGACATGTCTCAAGCAATTCTTTAACGTAGATTACAATTGTTTGTTGTAATTGTTCGAGTTGAAAATAATCAGCCGCATGATAAGTTTCGATGCAATTATCTATGGTAAGTGATTCGGACTCAAGTTCACCGGTATATAAATATTCTAAAATAATTTTCATCGCGCTAAATTTTATCTCGGGAAATTTAACTTCATTAGTTGTGGTTTCTTTCATACCATTAGATAATAAACGATCAAGCACGTTTGATCTTGCTGCTAATATTGCTCTATTTCCGTAAGCCAATGATCCTTCTTGACATATTATTTTTAGATCACTATAATTCTTATTATTTATCAAGAATTTCAAATCATTGACCAACGAATAACCCCTCATCAATATTGGTGACATACTGACGATAGGGTAAAAAAAAAATTAAGGAAAGGATATATATATTTTTACAAATATATATACATATGAATTTTTTTTTTTTTTTGTGAGGGGGGGGGGAATTTTATAAATGACATTAGGTACAAATCGAGAGTAGATCGCAATTTTTACAAACCAAATTGGTTTAAAAAAACAAAAAAATTAAATTCTTGATCATATGATGAAATCACAAGAATGTCATTTGCTCAAACTCGTGCATAATCGTTGGATTCCGATTAGTCGAAATTAAAAAAGTTTAATTGCTCGTATCACCGTGTGATGTACAATTCATAAGAACCCTCATGAGATTCAAACTCAACTTTTAAACTATCGTTAAAGTTGCAATTTATTTGGTTAAGATCGTTCAGAGAAATTCGTGGCGCAGCATGGAATACAAACCTTCGGGTTGGATTTTTTTTTTTCCAATTTTAAACAAAAAATTTCTTTTTTTCTTTTATGGGGATAGTGTTTATGTATTGTAAACCTCTTTTAATACAAGTTAATAAAATTTCCTAATATAGATTTATGAGTGGGCTCGTGTACCATACCAAATTGTGTTTCAAAATAATGTGTATTATCAACAATAAGTTCGAGTATGTGTTATAAAGATTTAAAGGAATTTATCTAACAAATTTGTCCATTTTAATTGTACGGAGCAAATATGTGTGCATGTTTCATTGTGCAGATCGCATCCTTTGTTATTAACATATAAAATAAGAAAAAAAAAAAGAAATAATTTTTGTTTGAATCTTTGCCGTTAAAATTTTTTTATTAAAAAAAAAAAAAAAAATAAGGAAATATAAAATTCGTAACCAGAATCTAGAATCATTTTATAAAAAACTTTAATATTTTAAGTTAAATTTATAATAAATTTTTTTTAAATATTTTTATTACATCATAAAAATGACATCTTCTGAAACGGGTATTTTATCAATTTGACCTAACCTAATTCATTCCCTAAATTTTTCATTTAACTCCTTTTTTTTTTATTTCGTTTCCTAGAGCCATTGTTAAGAAAGGATTCTTCTACAATAGAGATATTGGATGAAACGTCAATAAATTCAACATTAATAGAACCACCAGAACTAGGAGATCAAGAAGAGACGTTATTTGAAAAAATTAAAGCCCTGATGCTAAAATTTTCAGAATGGATCGATTTTTTATCAAGTTTTATACCTTTTGTTAATCGAGATAAAAGAAATGGGAGAGCAACTACTTTATCTAAAATCCTAAGAGATAATTTCGAAAAAAATAAATTAAAAATATTCATCGGTACATGGAATATGCACGGAAAATTACCACCGAATGGTCTTTCACCTTTTATTGATTTTCCTAATTATGCTGAAAGTGATATAAAGAATGGACACCATTTCAAAAAAAATTCGAAACATCCCTATCATATCTTGGTTATTGGTACTCAAGAATGTCAACATAACATTAAACACTCGGTCCTTTTCCCTTCAAAAGAAGAATGGGAACAAAGGTTAAAAAATCATTTGGGGGATGAATATGTTTTGATTAAAACTGAAACCATGGCCGCTTTACATTTGGTAAGTTAAAGGATGGTGATACCCTTTGTTTAAATTTTGTTGAGTTTTTGAAATTTAATTTGGATTTATTTATCAGGCCGTATTCGTATGGGCTCGTTGTAATGATTGGGTAAAAGGTTATCAACATGATGAAGTTCCAACCGGGTTAGCAAATTTGTTTGGAAATAAAGGTGGAATTGGTATTTCATTATTATTTGGCAACACTTCTTTTTGTTTCATAAATAGTCACTTAGCTGGTAAGTGCGGTAAAAAAAAAAAAAAAAAAATTATAGCCTTTTTCTTTTAACCATGCTTGAAATTAATGAACTTTTCCTCCTTAATTTATTTAGCACATCAAAGTAAGGTTAAAGAAAGAAATCATGATGTGAAAAAAATAAGCAAAGAATTAAAATTAAAAGGATTTAATACCACCGATAAAGGTAATTCATGTACACAATATGCACATAATTAATAATATAAGGAAATGATAATTAATATATATATATATATATATTTATTTATTTCTTCCTTTATTTGCAGTTTTACCAAACGTTACGGATAGGTTTGATTATACATTTTGGTTCGGTGATATGAACTATCGAGTTAACTTGTCAAGAGAACGTGCGGAACATTTAATTGCTGAAAAAAATATTATTGTAAGCATGTGTAAATAAAACAATAAAATGATTATTAATCTTTCTTTATAAACGAAAATTAACCAATTTTTCTTTCATAGGAGTTATTAAAACATGATCAACTAACAAGTGAATTAAACCAATTTCCATACTTTAAAAATTTTCATGAAGCTCCAATAGATTTTTATCCAACATTTAAATTTGACACGCATAAATCAAGACAAGATCGGCGATCTCAATCTGCTCCAGATTTAATTGAATCGATGGAGTCAGATATATTTCATTATGATTCTTCCGTTAAACAACGGGTGCCAAGTTGGACAGACAGGATTTTATGGAAATCAAAATCAGATAAGAAAAAAGTTAAGGTTGAATCATATACTTCTCACATGGATGTTGCTTTTGCTGGATTCTCTGACCATAGACCTGTTACTGGTTGTTTCTGGGTTGATTTTGATTGGAATCAAACTTTGAAGGACAAAAAGAAAAGATCTAAAAGGAGAAAATTCATCAAATTCTTTTAAATTGTTAATAATATTACTAACTTAGTTTACAAGGATATCATCTAATTTTTTAATTTTTTATACTTTTGTTTTTGTATATTAATAAATTTTCATAGAATTTAATTTTAACATGTACTGTAGATTTCTTTATTTTACTTATTTCAATCAATTAACTTTTCGTTTGTTTATAAACTTTAGAATGGAGGCGGTGGGTCCGGGTAGTATTTATTTACATAAATATTTATTCTTGTATCTGTTTGAACGGAATCAGTTACCTTCTTCATTTCAAGATGAATAAAAATAAAATGCGTCTATAGCAATCTATTGCTTAATGACTCATATAGTATCTTTATTATAGTTTTCTGCTTGAACTATTGAAATTCTATACATTGGGTATTGTTATGAAAGTACTAACTAATTAGGTCCAAGAGAAAAAAAAAACTCAATCTCTAGTCGAAATTTAGCATAATATTAGTGTTGGAAGATAAGAAAATACTTTTCAGAACACAATTGATAATGGGGATATTGAGTATTCGTCATTTGTACCTTACTTATGTTTATTATAAACTTATTATCAATGCAACGTTTGATTCGAAACTTGGTTTAAAAGATAGATGCAATTGTATTGATAAGCCACATTTTTCACTCAGATGCAGAGAAATACTTGTAATTTTTTTTTAAAGCCGTAATCCATTAGGAACTGCTGCAATTGAAGGCACGACGACTATATATATATTTTTATTAACTCTTTCATGATACATGATATTTGTGAGTTTCAAAGAGTCGCCTAAAATTACCTCCATATTCATAATCATTGACTATATTTGATAAATACCATCAATTCGACGTCTTCAGTTCTTTCATCTTATCTATCTTGTCATTGTAACACTACACGACTCACCGCGAACAAGATCTATATAAGGAATGCTTTTATCAACTAATACACCCCAAACGTTGACTCCTCCGTATCTGATGCATCAATCGATTTTTCGCAGACTCATATTCATCCAGTAAATGTGAAAAAACCATATGAATGTATTGAAATTCAAAATGTTCTTGTTAAACCACGGTCTCTTAATGTGCAAAAATTTCTAAAGAGTTTTCATTTTGTAATTTATCAAATTTATAACATTATTTCATCAATGATTTCCTTATTTACGTTCATAATTTCCTTCCAATCAGTTTTATCAATTAAAAGTTCTCGGTTTCTTTAGACTAGGCAACTCAATTTCTTAAAATAATCATTAACATAACTTCGATCTCAACGTCGCAACCATATTAGATAATAAACTTTTTATTTAAATTTTTAGTTCTTAGATTTGTCTTTTGATAGTTGCTACCAGCTATTGAAGTTGATTTCTAGAAAATCAAAATCGAGATTTACTGTATATTTTAAAGTAATCTGAAACAGAAAATTTTTATTAACTAAAATATTATCATTTATCATATAATAAAAAAATCAAAAGTTTAATTTTATTAGTAGTATTGTAAAAATCATGTGAGACCTGCTAAAATCCTTATTTATACATGGGATCTAGATAATAACCTAAACATCCAGAAAGATGATTTCCCCAGCGTAACCACCAAAAAATCACTGGCACGTGATTAATTTCTGCTGATCATTTCCAAAAATAGACTATCAAGCTTAATGATAAATTTTCTTTATATTTTTTTAAATAAAACCTAGAAAAAGTATTAAATTCTATACGTAAATTTGCCTTTTTTACAACTTTATTTAATGAGAAAATGGTGATTATAAATACTGTTTTTTCAGTGAAGTTATCTTTTATAAAATGTAATATAAAAGTCAAAAAATGGTATTTGAAACTTCTTTTTTATCTCTAAGCAAAATTGTAGAGCATATAATAATTCTTATAGGTGGTATAATTTTAAAAGCTAAAAAAAGTTTGTGTTAAATTTTATTTTAAAAAAACAATTTTCGTTAAAAATTAATTTAACTGTTTTAAGTTATAATCAACAAAATTAATCACATGCTAGTGATTTTTTAGTGATTACGTTAAGGAAGTCTTCAATTACATGATTTATATTATCATTTGTATCACACCCTTCACATTTTTACAGTAGTAAAATCATATTTGTTATACAATAACTATCACATACTTAGATTTAAAATTAGATCAGGGTTTAGGAATTATGAATAATGCAGGTCAAAATTATGTAATTGAAGAATTTTTGGGGTAGTTGTTAAAATTTTCAGTTTAACTATAATGTATAACATCTATACTCATCAAAATTTTTTGTAGAACTTCATATGATTTAATCATGTAAGCCAATTTTATTATTAAAAAATAATTGTCAAATAAAAAAATTTATTTAATTCTTCTAAAATACCATTTAGAATTCTTTTATGTGATTTGTATTTCTTAATAATATATTTTGCCAATTTTTTACTAATATCTTTTTTATAAACATCTTTACAATGCTAATATTTTGCAAATTTTCTAACCATAATTAAAGATATTGATCAAGACATTCTAATACAATCTTTTATAATTTATTTTATAAATAATTATAATTCTCTTGCACATATTTTTTACAAGTTCACTAATATCTTTTAATAAACTTTTAATTCACAATAAAATTTGAAATAAAAAATATATTTATGATTAAAACTTTCAATTAAATTTTCAATTGTTTTTTTTATTTAAGAAATATCAGATTTTAAAGATATTACTTAATAAATATAACAAAAAATTTTTTAAGAAACTTGAATTTTATCTTTATAGTTTTTATATTTTAGTATTAATTTTTCAGATAGCTATTTTTCTCATTTTATTAATATTTATTTAATTTCTTTAGATTGACTTTAAAGGTTTTCATTATAATATGTAACTAAAAATATTATTAATTACTATTATTTATTTGATCTAAAATAAGTATTATATATTAGTTACTTAGTATCAGAATTTAAATTTATTTAATTTACAATTAGAACATCTTTTTCAAAAATAGCATAATTAAAATTATTATTAATACTGTTATATAATTTAAACTACTAAAAAAATATTATAAGAAACAGAAATTAAGACTAAAACTTTTTTGTTTTTATTGATTTAAAATTTAAGTTATATAATGAGAAAAAAAAAGAAAAAAACTATTTTAATAGTATTAGTATCTATTTAGTAAAATTATTTATAATTTATCTTAACATATTTTGATCATTGATAAAATAAATTTGTTTAGCTAATTTGATGACTGATAAATAAAAAAGCAGTTTTTTTTAAATTATTTTTTAACTAGTTTATGACAAATATAAAATAAGAAAATTTCTTTTTATTATACTTACCTCTTCTGATTCATTCTTTTTTAACTGAATTATATATTATTAGTTTATTTTATTTATAAGTAATGTAAAAGTTTATAATTCTCTAATTCACATTTTTACTTAATTTACTTATTTTACATACAATCCATTATGTTAGAAAGTTAAATAGAAAAAATATTAAATATATTTTAAAATATATATTCTCTCTCAATATAATATATTATTTACTTATTTATTAATATATATTAAATATTTACATAAATTTATTTTAAAAAAAAAATATAAGAAAATTTAATTATATTTATAGAATAATAGATATATATATAGGGTCTTTGCAATAGAAAGGGAGGAAACTCCAAAAAAATTAAAATTTTAGTTTATAAGCCAAAAATGTTC